TTGGGCTACTCCTCTTAATAAGGTTGACCTTTTAAGATGGACCCCCAAATCTTGACATGGTATCAGATCCCATTATGCGCCAACGAGCGATTCCATCCCGGTAAGACTCCAAAAAAAATGAGCACGTGGATTTCAAGATTGGTCTGCTCAAACGAGCCACCATCTCGAGGGGACGTGTTAAGGGATATAAATCCCACATCGAATAATGATGTAAACACAGACCAATTAATAAAGATTCTGGGTTACTCCTCTTAATAAGGTTGACCTTTTAAGATGAACCCCCAAATCTTAATATGGCGGGTAGCGAACCCACCATGTACTGGGGAATAAATTCATTATATTTGATGTGATGAACAACCTGTCCATTTACGGTTGAGGTGGTCGAACCATTCCAGGATGCCACTAAATACTAGGAGAAGTCAGTGTCCAATACGCAGACACCCTGTTCAAACATGTATGGATAATCCCTGCACCTATTCCAGAGAAGCCACAATGCGTATTCAACTTCCTGTGTTTAGATTGAATGTAGGCATGATGAAAGTAAAAACTGAGAGTGAAGAAGATTGTATTTCACTGGATTATCACACGAGAATACATGAATTTATACAAGTATAGGAAGCTTCTGGAATGGTGCAAATAACAGAATAATAAATCTTCCTGCTGCTTAACAGAAATCAGATTCTATCTCCTAAAATTCAGGAGCTGCAATGTGCTAGTGTCTGCTGCTCCAGTAACCGGATTCCTTCACCTTATGAATTCTAACTCCCCCTCACAAGATGGAGTGTGTTCAAGCACTCCTAGCTTGTCTCTAAGAAACTGGAATCTTGAGTGTGACATGGGTTTGGTTAACACATCTGCTGTCTGATCCGAAGAGGGAACATATTGGATTTTCAGCTGATTTTCCAACACTTTATCTCTTACAAAGTGTGCATCGAGTTCAATGTGTTTTGTACGAGCGTGATAAACTGGATTTGAGGCTAAGGCACTTGCACTCATACTATCAGACCAGATAATAGGAACTGATTTCTGTGGAATCTTCAACTCTTCGAACAGAGACTGGATCCATGTTACTTCAGCTGCACAGTGGGCTAAGGTTCTATATTCA